CTCGTACTTGAGGAAGGTCATCGACATTCTTGGAAAGGACGCGAGAAATGATTGCAAGGTTGAGAGGGAAAAGACCACACACCGTCCGGACAGGGACATATACCACAAGCAGGGCAAGAAGAAAAACAAGATGTGGGAGTACCTGTTCGAAGGCCAACCAAGGACGTCATGCGAGCACGACTACATAGTTCGCAAAGCAATGGCTTGGGAAGCGTATAGTGGTTACCCCAAAGCGCAGGTGGGCGCGTTTCGCTATATTTGTAGGGCGATACGAAGAGATGAAGTTGGCGAGAAATCGGACCCTGCTGACATACGATGACTACAGTGACATCGCTAAGAGAACAGACGCATGGTGTCCAATCGAGAGCGATGAAGAGACAAAAAACTCGGACCTGAAAATCAATTTGCGGGTGAAACATTTGCGAGAGGGTGGAGGTGTTGGAGAGAAAGTGCAAAGTGTGTCGGGATGCAACATACAGAACGAGAATCCAAAAGAAGGTCGCACGAACTCGAGAGGTGTGAGCGGTCCTGCACCTCACATGAACAACAGGGCAAGTTTCGTTGAAGCATTCCCGAAGGATTTACAGACGCCCCTCCAAGCACTTCAGAATACTCTCATTCATGGCAATCGTTACGGGTTTCGGGGAGGTCAAACATCTGGGGGAAACATGGGTCATGATATGCTCGAAGATGCTGGCGAGGATGACCTGGCTGTTCCAGGTGTCATTCCAAAGTTATGCCAGATGATGATATTCCCCACTGCATTGTGCAAAAAAAGTCCACAGTCGTTCTTCGTTCAAGACAAGGTGCTAGAATTGTCGTCTAAGAAATGGGGGCATCACATTTTGTGGCACACAGATATTTTCGAGTCGTGCGTTTACAAGGGGGAGTGGATGATGACACTGCATCTATTATCAGGATGGAAAGCCAAACCCAGACTGATAGAAGATATGTGGCTGCTAGTAACGAAGAGCGAAATCATGTTTCGGGTCAAGTGCGAAAACGAGGGGGTGGACAAACTTGCTATATCGAAAAAGACACAATTGTTGTTCGATTGTCTACGCATGGATTGGACAATCGTTTGGAATATCAACATAAATTTTATGACTTTCCATCAAACCGTTCATACAAGAGCATTGATTGGAAGATCGAACAACCCCCCGCATGCCAAGGCATCAAGAGTATCATAGAGGGATGCTCACGGCTTGCGGAGAGGACGGTGAAGTTTGTTGTAAGTGTTGGGGAAGTAATGAGCCAAACAACTGTCAACAAAGAGAAATATGAGTTTGAATCGTACGAGTCTCCTCTAATGAGTCATGAGAGTGCATCGCAGATGGAGACTCTCACTCCTACCGCGAACGTGGAGGTTGCAGATGGAATGCAACAAGGTGCGTATACAAAACGTGCGAGTCAGGCGCAAAAAGATTCCGATGAGATAATGAATCTGTTGATTGAGGCGGAGAATGGAGGGAAAGGGAAGCTTAAAGGGTCTAATACATCCCAACATGTGATTAATTGTATTTCACTAAGCGATGAAGGGTAGGACACACATGCAGAGGATGTCAGAGATGATGACGATGGACAAAAGGAAGTGGATGAAGGAGATCAACCCACCAGACGGTACACAAGAGAAAAAACGAAAAAACAAAAGATGAATGTATAGAGATATACAGAGGGTGATGTATGAGTTCGTATGTGAGTAAGGGGAAAGTGTGCATATGTATGTATATATGGGACACGTGTGTGTTTGTATGCGTGCAAGTGCTTGTACGCAACCTAGATAAATATTTGGAAGGAGGCGCGTGATGAAATAATCGATTGCGCTTGGAATTTGAGAAGATGGAAAATACAAGTGTCATCTATGATACATAATAATTTTTTTTTTTCTTTTTTTTCTCTCTTTCTGTCTATCTCTCTTTCTCCTCTCTCTCTCTCTCTCTCTCTCTCCTCCCCCTTACCTCTTCATAAAACTTTCAATGAATATGTGAAACTGTAGATACGTATACGTTTTTATCTCTTTTTATCGGTATTGTATAATGCATATATCAACCGCGACGAATCTCAAGTGAGTATAATTATTAGTGTGGTAATGTCATATAACATTGTTAGTGCAGTTTATGCAAGTGACGAAAGTGCGTTAATATGTAAGAGTGTAACGATTTCCACTCCGCAACCACCAATTTTTTTTTTAGCACCTCGCTCCGTTAAGATAACCCTCAATATGCGTTACTGCAACAAACTACATATAATCAACATGATTATAACTGCACGTCTTGGAACAGTAATTCACAAAAAGATATGGTCCGTTGTCATGTGCAACGCAAACGACAATGGAGGATAACAGGAGGTGCAAAAAAGGATGGACCGTACACTTGGCAACAATGAACTTGACGAAGCACGAGATGGAGGCACTCACGCGACTGCCAGTGCAAATCGAGTGCAAATCGAGAATAGAGACGTCATAGCAAACTCATTTAACGAAGACACGAAAGAAGAACTGGCGATGACAATGAACGATTTTAGCTTGCGCATGATAGAAAAAAAAAGGTTGAACGAGGAGATAGTGAATTTCTATTTTAATCTCGTCCGACTAGCTAACGAGTGGCGTGTGAATCGCGAGAATTGCAACTCGAAGAATGAGAATATGGCTAGAACAGGAAAGGGGTGCATTCCTAAAATAACAATTCTCAGCTCATTTTTTTTTCCATACTATTTGATAGCAATATGAAGTTCCAATACGATATGGTTCGCAAATGGTTCACAGAGGTTGTGATAAGCGACATGAATTTGATTATTGCACGTTTTCATGCCACGCACAACGAACACTGGACAATCGTAATGATGGACCTGAGGCGTATAAAATTGAAGTGCTACGCTTCCCTGACACCAAATGTTGAACTCGCAAAGAAGGTGATAGGGGGGTTCACAAAATTTTTGTACATGAGATCGGTCGAACAATGTCAAGAGATTGACACCGAAAACTTCAACCATCGATGGGTAGTGGACGGAATTCCAAAGCAGCGTGACTTCAACGAGTGCAGTGTATTTATGCTCACATATGCATCACTGTTGGCGAATCTCAGATGGTTTCTCCCGCCATTCACCTTCAAATCAGATGATACTAAGAGACTACGATGCCGGATAGTTTTTGATGTGGCTGTTGTGGAGTAGACATATGAGTCAGTTACAATAGTTGTCCAAGCATATGAGACGACCATGCAGTGAGCATAAGTAGAGAGGCTAATATGAGAAGATAAGCTCGCAAGAGTACTTAGGATTAATGATGCGTTCAAAAAGGTAACTGGCCGTGCAAGACAGACATCTTATGAAAAAAATGGTTAATGTGGGAATGATTTATAGAGGCAAGAAACGAGTATGTGACAAACACTTACATCTAACCCCCGACCCCCCTTAGCCCCAATTCATTTTCCCTTACCCCATACCGCTTACCTCTTACCCCTTACCCCTTGCCCCTTGCCCCATACCCCATACCCCTTGACCCCTTATCCCTTACCCCCCTTGTCCTGTCATAAATAATTCGCAAATGAGGACAATTCAAGGAAAAACATCCGACTTTCAATTTCGTTCAAAAAATAAAAAATGTCCATTTTGACGAAATCGTAGTTATTCCTCCTCTAATGTCCAAATGCCCCTGCTCATAAGTTGCCTGTCTGTTTTAGTTTGTTCCTTGTACTCTCTTCTTACCATTCACGTCGTCGTCGATTACCTATCCCCCTCTGTCATGCTAATATTTGAAATTCTTCCCTACCTGTCAGCTACCTATGGCCCCATCCATTTTGCCACAATATCCCTGCTATGTCCTTCCATTTCCCTTATTTTTATCGTCATTCTGAAATTTCCTCCAAGCTCCCTCGAGTCGATTGATTACCATCCCCCTGTCCATCCCTACGCCTCCCTTTACATTCACCCATAGTCGTATGATTCCTCCAGCAGTTATGACGCATTTGTGATCTATGTGATCTCAGTGAGCTTATCACAGACTGACAAGGTACCCTAACTAATGCACAGGAAAAGAAAAAGAAGAAGAAGCAAGAAGAAGAAGAAGAAGAAGAAGAAGAAGCAACAAGAAGAAGCAGCACACAAATGAATAACATGTACCCTCACTTTTCACCCCTAGGGTAACCTTCACCACCCTGAAAAGTGTGAAAATTGACAAATTGAAATGTTGGTGAAATTTCTGGCCTGTTTTGTTTTTGGTAAAGGTCTTTATGTGCCAAGTTTGGTGTTTGTTGGGTTCCTGGAGATGGTTGTTTTGGGCAGCGGTGAAGATTGTGAAAATCGACAAATTGAAATGTTGGTGAAATTTCATGAAAGTGCACTTTCAGCTTGCTGTTTTATATGTTTTTTGTTTTTTTTTTCGTTTTTTTTTTACAATATGTTAACAAGAAGTGCACTCTACAGATTGGTGTAAAGTATTGTTAAAATGACCCTTTGTTTTTTTTTATAAATGAGGGTGAGAATTGGGGGGTCGGTTAACCTTCTCTCCTAAGCAAGCAGAAGAAGCAGCAAGAAGAAGAAGCGGAAGAACCAAGCAGAAGAAGAAGAAGAAGAAGAAGAAGAAGAAGAAGAAGAAGAAGAAGAAGAAAGAAGAAGAACTTCATGCAAGAAGAAGAAGAAGAAGCAAGAAGAAGAAACAAGATTCTGAATAAGAAGAAGCAAAATTCTGAAGAAGAAGAAGAAGCAAGAAGCAAGAAGAAGAACAAGAAGAAGAAGCAAGAAGAAGAAGAAGTTGGTGGTCATGTGCAACCATCCAGATGTGTCCACGTAGAGAGAGGGAAACACTGCCAGTGCCCAGCCATGTAATGAACACTGCACAACCTGACGACAGACGGGGCAGCAAGAATTCGTGTGGGATCTGCACGAGCAACTTGAATGGAAATAATTTTCATGCATTGCCAAGGAAAATGCAAAGAGCAAATTCAATCTGAAACCACTTGCACACATATTATGTGTTATCAACAATCAGCTTGAGCGACGTTTCCGTCATTGACTCGGAAGCATGGCAAAAGGGGCGGCATTGCCGTGACACTGATGCAATCACACGCCACTGACGCCAGGCTCAAAACATTGACAAATGCAGACTCTGAGGTCTGTTGTTGAAGAAAGAAAAAAACATCCCTTCAACTCCCCGTTAGCTTCTCGATCAGCAGGGAATAATTATGTTGGTCTTTCATGATCATTGCGGAGAAATTACTTGGTCACATCAGTAGTCAGTACCTACTCTAGGCAAATTGAATGAAGCCTGCTCACCAATCAATGCCTGAGTCGTACACAATTATGTGCCACTGGCTGTAGCGAAGACAAATCAAACTTTAAGGGGAAACTTCAGTAGGGTCACAAAAAACGAGTTATAATTGCAGAATGGGGCACAGTTTGCAATTGCACTTGGGGTACCCTGCACCTGGCCAGAAAGGTGGGTTGTATACATTGCCCGAACTGCAATTTGAAACTGTACTATCTTGGCCCAAAGTGCAATTAGAAGTTATACCTCATTTTTGTGACTCCCGCGTAGTTTCCGCCAAAACAAAATACAATGCTGAAGCTCCACCCTGAAGAACTCCAAGTTCAGTCTCCTTGGCCTCCTCCCTCCCAGCGGCTCTCGTGAGTCTTCTCATCTGATTCCGCCCCCCAGGCCCAAACTCCACCTCCCCAACTCTCTCTTCTTGCCTGCCTCTGGCCTAGCCGCCCTGAATAGCACTGGCGTTGCTAGCCCGCATCATGACCACTCATGCCCTAGCTGCTGGCCAAAGGGCTTTAGCACTGTAGACCAACCACCAGCTTTCGATTGTTCTCGGCATTTCCTCAATATGCAGATGCTTCTGAAGAGGGCAGCCTACTGCCTTTGGACTGGTGGGTATGTCAATCTGGAAAAATTCCTACCGCAGCATGGAGTTCTGAAGATTGGCGTATACAGCTCAATGCCATTGCTTTCCACTTGATTTTTTTTTTTCACAGCCTCATCTGATGTAGCCATCAGCGATCGACACATCCAAGATATTAAGATGTGGTACACCCCTTAAAAAAAAAAAAAAGATGTGGTACACTCCTCTATGGATTTGATTCTGACTCCACTGACTCCACTGCACTCCAGTGTTCAGTCCGGTCTCACGGTGCATGGCACACGTGGAAAATAGCACACAGTTTAAAATGTTCAATTGGAGTTGGAATCCATTTCATAACAGAAGTACCTGGCGGAAGTAAAAAGCATGTATGTATCCTATACATCACTTATGTCACACACACACACACACACACACACACACACACACACACACACACACACACACACGCAGGCTAGATCATCAAGTGTGGCAAGATGTCCCAAGGTAGACAGGCAACATCGCAAACCATCTTTGCGATGACCTCATTTGATTCCAGGACTGCCAAACGATTGTGTGCGCTGAAAAATGATGGATATTTTCAACCTACCTGCCATCGGGCTTAGTTTAATGGTGGGAGAGGGGGGGGGGGGTCGCTTAAATGGGACGGACAAATTGTTCACGGGGAGAACTCTCAATCCATTCTATATCGGCGCAACCAGGGCCTTCTATAAACAACGCTGGGTACAGTGGGCCATCACATGGAAGTTTGAGATAGGCCTGAGGGTACTCCCCACTGTGCCTGAGGTAGCTTTCCAAATCATTCGCAAACGTCAGTGCCCTCTTCTTCATATCCAATATCACGACAACGGCGGCTCCAGATTCATCGAACCTCTCCAACTTCGATGAGGCAAGAAAAGTTGGACACAGTTCCCAAGGTGCTGTGACCCAAGTCGCATGCTCACTGGACAGCATCCAAGGGTCATCCATCGTTGGAAGGTCTGCGAGTCCCTTGGTGGCTGATGAAACAACCCCCACGTAACAACGGCGAAATTTTGTCAGGACCCGCACTCTCCAGATATGCTTGCCGCTACGAAGCGGTAGCTTCATCATCGTGAGACCGTCATACTTTGTATCGGACCGCACCACCCGCTGTGGTACCTCTTCTAAACTCTCGCATTTTTCATTCCTTACGGACCACAAGGACGGAAATAAGACCTTATTGTACGCGTTGCGAATTCCACCTTTCCTTGTTTCCACAGGTGCGAAGGGTGGTTTGTGACACATGGATCGCCATGGCATTGTAAAGAAAGAACTGGGAGGCATTCCCCTGGAAAAGCAGATGCCCTGCACTCTGTAGGCTGCAAGGAGTGCCTCCAGCCGTAGGATTCGCAGTGGCTCTATCCTCTCCTGCAGAAAGGAGGATTCAATCAAAGGAAGGTTAATGTGACCTTTGAATATGTCCTGCACATCCTTCCTCGATAGCACCACCTCTCTCTCTGCTGCATCACAATCCTCGTCAGTACCGTCGTCTTTTTCAGAGGTTTCTCTTGACTCAACATAATGATGTATAGATTCTTCGGCTGGTGAAACTTCTTCCACCGCCGGCACTCTCACATCCTCACCTGATGGTAAAACCTTTTTTGCTGCTGTCTCACTGTCCTTGGCGCCCGTTTCTTTCTCAGATCCAGCCGCCGGCGCGACAGAATCCATAGGTTCTTCAGCTGCCGGTGAATCTGGCTGCTCTGGCACGGTCTTGGTCTTTTCTTTGTCAACGAAAAGGGTAGTATCGGATACTGCTGAAAGCACGGCCTCGGCGACCAGCGTTTCTGTTACGTTTGGATGAAAGCGAGCATTGTCTAGACAGTACACGATGCTCTCCTTGCTCCACCCTCGAAATGTCGTTGAATCCACGACAAGGACGTCATTCATTACCGTCAGAGCAATTTTCAGTATGTCGTCTGCTTGCCTAGGGATCGCGGCGTTCAGTAGTTCCCCCAGTTCGCTTGCATAACCAAGCCTAGACACCCACAGCAAGACCCTTTCGCACAAGCTGTTCACCTGATACTGCTCTGCGAGCATGTACGTGTCCAAGACGCCCTCCCAGCAGGTGTCAGGTTTCCACCTAAGGGGACACCCATGCAGGTAACTGATCACAGTCTGCAGACTGTCTGCCTGAACCTCAGGAAGAGGTATTCTGTCCATGGAMCCCTCCTTCATGTCCCCATAAAGCATTTTGGAGAAGTACTCGCTCCTGCCTGCCAACAACGCCCGATTCGCCCGAACCTCTTTGGACGCCGTGCAGACAAATGTGACATCAAGCAATTCCGGACGATCGAGCATGGTTTGCATCGCAGCAACCACCTCTTTCGCCTGTTTTGCATCTTCCTTGTCCTCTTCTGCCGGTCGCAAGGACAGGTATGGGATAGCCTGTCGGTCCTCCATCTCCACGATCTTTGCAGCGGGACAGTTAGCTCTTCACGCCAGGAGCGGTTCTCCAGCAGAAACAAACTTTTCAGCGTTAGAGAAACCGGTTGTTGCGGTCCTTGCGGATGCTGTCTTGCAAATTCTGCGGCCATGAGAACGGAGCCCAAGCTCTCAATGTAGTACCATACTGTCCGTACTAGGTGGTTCAATTCAAACTGAAGTGGAAAATTTTCAGATCTGTGACAGAGTGCTCACCACCCGAACTTGTAGTTTGATTATAAAGTGGAAGGCGAAAGGCATCAGTGAGCTACGAAGAGAAAGCAAGACCTTGAGGTCTGCCGACCTACCTTCATGACGTTCACATGGAAGGCGAAAGCCATCAGCGACCTAAGAGGAGCACAGTTAACTTCGAAGTTTAATATGAAATAACTGGCATGTCATTGAATACACAACACCCACAAGTACAAGTAGTACAGAGAGAGCCAAACCAAACATCTCTTTCGTCAACTGTAATCAGGCCTGATTAAAGATTACAGCACAGATTGACTGTCCAAGGCTGAGGACAGGAGGATGGCATCAAACAAATCGTGAAGAAAAAAAGCAGCAGCGCAAACTTACTGCTTGTTGCCCCACATGACAGACAGATATTAGACCTTTTTTTTTTTTTTTTTTTAACCGTCTGCATCTCCTCGTAGATCATCAACTTTCTGGCAAAACCTTTTCACTCTCAGATTGATAGAAAAATCACAGTTAACATTCAAAAAAAAAAAAGCTAGTCAACATCAGAAAGATGAGCATCAGATTAGAAACATGCAATGCCATTCATGTAGTACTACCCCATTGGCTAAAATACTAGAAGGTTGATGCAAAGTGTTCCACCAATTTACAGACACATTCATTACTCGTATATTTATGAGACCTATACAAACAAATAGACAAACTACATCTGCTGCTCTGCGGAACAGAATAGAAAACGTAGTACTACTTGAAGATTGTGCGGTACAAAAAATAAAAAAATAAAAAAATAAAAGGACAGGTACGAAGTTACGAACTGAGAAATATATATTTGCTGAGAAACTTTGCTGGCTTTGTTCTGTTTGCCGAGATTTCGGGGTCTGAGGGCATACGCAGACTGGGACTTTTTCCACTAGCCATACTCAGGGCAAGCTCACACTAGGACTTTTTCGACTCAGCTCTGGACGTTACTGCGGTCAGATGCATTCAGGTTCTGCCGTAATTTCAGTCAGATACGTTGAGGCAAGTGCTAGTGTCAGTATGCCCTGACACTAGTACTTTGCCGAATGATATCTGACCGCCATCATCGGCAGATGCTACTAGTAGATGAATCTGAAATGGTTAATGGGGACCCCCATTTAGGGTCTCCGTTAACCTTCTCTCAGCTTGCCCTGAGTATGCCCTGAGTGTATTCTGCGGATTTTTTTTCAGCCCCGGCGGTGATCTGCGGAGAAGATGAGTATGTCGTGGCGTTTGACCAGGGCCGAGGTCGGCGAGCCCCTGCGAACTCTGCTTTCCATGCGGTGTTTCTGTGCCTCAAACAGTGATCGAGTTGCAAATACGTGTAGTTACAGGGACAAACCTGAGATTTGGGTACACAGAGATTCATTGGGTACTCCAGAAGGCTAGGGGGAGCGGTAGAATTTGTCAGGGGGCCCGTAGGCATTTTCCTGTGACTTGGGTAGGGTCAGGAACGTCTGTTAGACTTAGCAAAAGTCTGGTAGCCTTAAAGCACCACCAGTACACCACACATAGGCTAGCAGGTGTCAGCATGAAACCCGCACCACTGCAGAGGCCGCCAATTTGTTTTTCCAACGGCCCCCCTTGCTGTGCGGCACCTCCGAGTTTAGCTTGTGGCCACCAAAACTTTCTTCAAGGCTGGGCACATGTACTGGTGCTTTAAAGCACCACCAGTACATGGGCACCTCGACCAACAGCGCCACCACAACTAAAAAATACACCGCAACAGAGACAAAGAATAGCCTGGTACTGGCCTGATGTTGAGATTGTGCAGTCAGGGCTGAGTGTCTGTGCACTCAGGGCGCAGTGCCTTAGCGCCTGCGTGCCTGAACCCAGAGGCAAGTTGGTTGTCAGCTGGAAAAGTTAGAAAACAATGCGGGTATAGTATGTTATTTTTGGCACTGGCCTGAAGCCGGTGGCAGAGGGTTTCCAAGCTGTCGAAGGTCGAAAGTACTGGTATTTAAACCACCAGTACACCACATATCGGCCCGCGGGTGTCTGTGATGCGCAACCTCACACCCCGCACGGCGTTCGGTTCGTCGAACGCCGTTCAGAGTAGTTGGGGGTGTGGCCGAGGATTTTTGGCCGTGGGGTTGAATCACCCGGGCAAAACGAGGGATTCTTATTTCGAGCCGAGAGTTGCCTCGTTGGGGGTTTGAGCCGCATCGAGGGCTAGGGACGGGAGGAAAGCTCATTCCGGTACGACAATCGACAGAAAGGGAAACAATCAAAAAGAGAAGGAAGGAGGAAGGAAGAAAAGGATGGGGAAAAGGGTTTCCGTTCCCCCGGGCGCCTGGTTCGCACGGATTGTGGGCGGTCGGTTCGAGAATCTCATGCCTCGGCGTCAGACTCGTCGAGCCCGCGCGGACATCCTGGTGCGAGGTCGCCAAGGGCAGGACAAACCGTTAGCCGTCAAAGCGGCCGCGTTGCCGGAGAGCTTTGGGAATCGAGCCGCACCCTCGTATCCCAAGACTAATCTCCGCCAGGAACACGAATCCACCTGACGACACCAGTGGCAGTTAAACTGAGGCCACCACGTCATGTGTGCTGCTGACCAGGGCAACATGGTGAGATTGGTGTAGGGTAGTATCAGGGGAGGGGAATAGAACCGATCAATCAACACAAACCCACTCCCTCCGATATGTCACGCCCTGGTGGGGTTATGCAGCCGGATCTGCTCGGTCCATCTTAGAGCGCTCCGCACGTCTGCGTCGCAGTACACGCTGTCGTCGTCTGCGACCGAAAAGGAAGGTAGCACGTTGCAGGAGACTGGCACAAAGGTGGAGCATGGGCTATGGCCCGTGCTTGTGTCCGCGCAGACGAGCGTGGACTCCATACAAAGAAAATATAAAGAAACGAAACCAAGATGACTCGCCTAGATCTCTCTCGCTCTCTCTCCGTGTCTTTCTGTGCCAACCCGAATGCTGAGTCACGGATCCGGGGTTTGTTGCGTTGTGGAGATGTCGTTCGTGTCACGGAGACACGAACGATTGATCTCTTCGGTTATCGAGTGAAACCACCCGTTTCGCCTGGATCCCGATCGGCGCACGAAGGGAGAGAAAGAGATAAAAAGGAGGTTGGCGCAAGTCCCGCGCATACACACAGTGTCAAGAACGAAAGAGGGATCGGGGAAGGGAAGAAGGATCAACACACTCATGCATTCACGCAGACGGTCGACACTCAGCAATCCCCACCACCGTGCCTGTACGCTCGCACACACCCACACACTCTCCAAGCTCCCCTGACAATGAGACATTCAATTCATCCATAAACTCTCGTACCATCGGGACCACGCACACATCGCACGGAAACGAAGTCGCAATGGAGATAAAAGTGAGTCCTTAATACACAAAATTTCTCATACGGCTGGCCGTCCTGGCCCCAGCCCCCAATTCCTCAGAACCTCTGACAACCATAGCCACAAGGCCCTACCGCTGCCGGCGTCTGATCTCCACCTCCGCTCAGTCCCTCCGACTGGCTTACCCCAAGTCTATCGCTAAGCCCGTCCCACGTCGTCACTCCGCCCATCACTTGGGCTCGCCACGCCTGTTCGACGCCGTGCACCTCGCGCATAGCTCGCGCAGCTTGCAGCCGAGATCAAAGAGAGGGAGAGGAAGGGGTTGCAAGAATTTACAGCGCGGAAGGCGGCGGGGAGCCGGCGCGAGGTGTGGGTAACATGGGGTGTAGATGAGCAGGGCAGAAGAAGGGCCAAAGTTCCAGAAGGATTGAAGGAGGCGAGTTGGACGATCTGTGTGATTGGGGTGGTCGTTCAAGTGGTACGCGCCTTCCGCTCTCACCACATTGATTACCATCCCAATTACACAGCCAATCGTTCGCGATGATGGGTAAGGAGAGGATCAGACTTTGCTCGAGGGAAGACGAAGAGGCATGCAGGAAGGAAATGTGCGGCAAGAAGGGGAGATGGCACAACGATGCAAAGCGGGAGAACGGGCTTACGCGGCGCGCAAAAATTTGAAAGACAGCCGCGCGCGCAAAATTACAAAATTCCTATCCACACTATTTCCTAACTGTTTCTTGGATTTCTGGGCGCGGTCACTAACCGGCCGCGCGAGGAAGACATCAGGGGCGGTCCTGCAAAGGAAAGATGAGTTTCTGTGCCGTCTCTCCTCTCTTTTCAAGAAAGAAAAAGAAGGAGAAGAAAAAGAAGGGGAAAAAAAAAGGAAAGATAAAACCCCGTTCTTCCCAATCATCTAGAACCCGTACTCTGAGGTTTACGTGAGATTTTCCCTTGAGGGTACAGGAAGCTGCTGAGTACGGATCCTGGCTTATCACATGCCGGCATGAAACCCGCACCACTTCGGAGGTCTCCGATTATTTTTTTCAACGGCGGGCCAGGCCGCACGGCGCCTCCGAGTTTTGCTTGTGGCAACAAAAGCTTTCTGCAAGGCCGGGGCCGTGTACTAGCGGTTTAAACCACCAGTACCTCACCCAGCTATAAAAAAAATTGCGGCCGTTAGGGGGTCGGGGAGTTGAAGGACCGGTAGGAGCTCTTTTTCTTTAGAAAATAAACTAACCAAAAAAAAAAAAAAAAAACGAGATACCACTTCAAAAAGCAAGAAAAGTAAAAAGAAAAGGAAACAACAAAATTCAAGGGCGCGGGAAGGGTTCTCTCTCTCTCTCTCTCTCTCTCTCTGGTTGCTGCGCGACTATTGTGAAAAATGGGAATGAATCTTCCGCTACAAGGCGGCATGATTCATGCACATCCCTCAGTCGACTTCCCCGCTGTGAAGGCAGAGAGAGAGAGAGAGAGAGAGAGAGAGAGAGAGAGAGAGAGAGAGAGAGAGAGAGATTGTGCCTTCATGGTTGGGCAGTCCACAGAAAAAAAAAAAAAAAAACGCGAATGAATCATGCTGGCTTGTAGCGGAAGATTCA